GAAAACCTTTATGATGATGCTGCTGATGACAGTGATGATGATGCATTACTTCAAGAAAGAAAAAATGGAAAAACTGACAGTCAGCAATTTCCTAGGATGAAGAAGGAAGTCTGTGATAGGTAAGCCTGTAGCAATATTTAACAGTAGATAATTTTACTGTACAATACAATTAATTCTAATTGGACTGATATTCATGATTAACAAATTGTATGCATTTTATAGGTATATTCAGCCTTGCGTGGTGATAAGAAAAATGCACATTAACAATGAGATAACATATTTTCCAATCATACTGGCATTTTATTAAAAAAAGATTAGCAGTGTTGGCAAATGTGAGGAAAATACATTCTCATACACTGTTGGTAAATAAAATTGACCAATCCTTTTTGAAGTGTAATTTAGTAGCATGTAGCGACATTTCAAATATGTCACTCCTTTAGCCTACCAGAAACTTAGGATCTGGCACTAGATGCTACAGGAAAACATGACTTGTGGAAACACACATAAACACATACAAGTTAAGGACATTTATTCTATATTATATATAACATACAAGAAACCAATATATACATAACATAGATAGCCTATGTTAAAGATATATATTTGTGTTCAGAATATTTATACAAGTGTGTTGCATATATACATGTATATGTATATTAAAGACAGTTACTGTAACATCATCATATCAAAAACTTTGAGATAGTCTAAATACCCATCAATAAGGAAATAGTTACATTGTCATATCCATACAATAATGTCATATGCAACCATTCAAATAATGAGGTTGGATCTGTAGTGTACTGATTATTTCACAATTGACAGATACTTAAAGCATTTAGTTTGATGATACAACTTAAGAAAATTGTGTTAGAATTCTTGTAATATCTGCTGAGGTTCAAAAGGAAGCTGCATGCTGCATTGCAGCTCTACCTTATTCCCAACAAAACTGCTAGTTTTTCAGTTGTTGGGTGTTTGTTCTCAACGCATGAGTGCTCACCTATTGGATTCTTATATTAATCCAGATATTGCCAAGGGATTGCATATCGATATCCCACATAAACATTTCCATATTTTGGGTAAAACTTACTAAAGTACATCAAAGCATCTTTAATATACTAACCAGGTGCTGGCCAACTCTTTCTGTAGAAAGCCAGATAGTAAATGTTTTAGGCTTTGTGAACCACAGGGTCTCTGTTCTTGTAGTCCACAAGTCATAGACAGTAAATGAACAGACATGGTGCTGTCCTGATTAAACTTTACTTACAAAAACAGGCAGTGGGTTTGACTTGGCCCCAAGGCACTAATTTGCTGACCCCTGTGCCAAAACCAACGTGCTGCTAATGCGGTGAATCTTCTTTGTAAAGATACCCCCAATGCATGCCATTAACTGTCCTTTTAAAAGAAATATATGTCGGTATGCATCATACCATATTTTCTACAGTGACTTTATATAATATGACTTACAAAAATCCAGCTTAAAAAATCAGATTATTTTCTGCATTTTCCCCTTTTATTCCTGTCATTGAAGCAATATTTTAGTATGAGTGACGGCTTTGTATATTTGATGACTATAAAATATCCTGCAGTTGGATGACTTTTCTAAGGCAAAAATACTGCTTTTGAACATTTTAGTCTTTCTGTGGTCTTGTTTATAAGTATGAGCTAAATGATAATTGGCTTATATAATCTAGAAATGTTCACAGGGTCTTGTAATTCTATAATTTTTGCAAATTTATAATTTAATACCTTGGTCTGGCATTTTTAAAAATGCCATATGTATATAATTTTGAAACCTTTAAAGTGTAAAAACATACTATGTAATTATTGTATAGTGATTGAAATATATAGCTAAACAAGAAGAACATTACAGCATCCATGATCATGCCACTTAGGTATGACGGCCTTGAAAAAACTGTCTAGTGTCTCTGCTCATGGACTCGAATTTCTTTTCCATTTACTCTTGAACTCATTCCAGCAATTTTCACTCCCATCACTGTGGCAAAATTGGTTTTCTCAAAGTTCCCACTGATTTTTACTTTAGTAAATCTAGATATAATTTCTTGGGTCTCATTTTACTGAATCTATCGGCAATCTTTTCCCCAATGAAAAGCTCTCTCCTTCACAATCCTTTTGGCCCTTGACTTTCAAGATATCACTCACTGACCTGGTTTTTCCTCCTTCCTCTCTAGTTCATCCATCTTAGTCTGTGTTGTGTGCTTGTCCTCACACCCCACCTTCTGCACATTCAAGTGTCCCAGGGCTCAGTCCTCAATCTTCTTTCTCATGACTTTTACTACCTTCAGTGTGCTAATGATTTCCTTAATTCCAGACCTATATACCAACTGCCTACTTGACTCCTCTCTTTGGTTAGCTATTAGGTATCACATCTTATGAGGTCCAAAATCAAGCTACTGATGTTCTTCCTTATACCTCCCCCTCATCATGGAGTCTTTCCTACCTGAGTTAATGGGAACCCTTTTTGTTACTCTGACAAAAACCTTGGGGTAATTTTTGACATCTTTCTCTCTCTCTCTCTCTCTCTCTTTCTCTCTCTCTCTCTCTCTCTCTCTCTTTCTCTCTCTTTCTCTCTCTTTTTCTCTTTCTCTCTCTCTGTCTCTGACATCTCATACCTAATCTCTCAGCAAATCTTGCCAGGTCTTCCTTCAAAATACATGCAGAAACCTTTCGCATTTTGCTTGTCTAAGCCACCACCTCTGCTGTCTCGATGAGTGTAATACACTGCTAAATGGTCTTTTTTTCCTGATCCTCTTTCCACCAATGCTTAACTCAGTGCTCCTATTAAAACAAGTCAGATGATGTCATTCCTCTGCTCAGAACATCCCAATTGCCTCCCATTTCAGTCAGAGTATGTGTCGCCATTCTTCCTAATACATAAAAGGTAGCTCATGATCTGACCTTTAGATGCTCTGACTTAATTTTTCATTTTTCTATCCCTTTACCTTTGCTGCTGCCTCACTGAACTTCTCACTATTCTTTAAACTCTCCAGGTACACCTCTGTACTTGGCAGTTCTCTCTATTTCAAATGGTTTCCCTCAGATATCTTCCTGGCCTCTTTTTCTCTGTTCATTCAGTTCTTTCCTTAACAACCATTTTCTCAGCAAAACCTTTTGTAGACATGCTAACATTCCCACCATCCCTTTTCTCCCACACATTAGCATTTCATTATCCTGCTTTACCTTTTCTCCTCTAACATATGATGTAGTTTTCCCATCTATTCTGTTTGCTGTCATTGTGTGTTTCCTTCACTCTCATGAGTAGGACATTTGTGTGTTCACTGCCGTATCCCCTGTGCCTAAAAACAGCCTAGCATGTAATGTAGTAAGTAGCTACTCCATACATTTGTATTAACTGAGTGTATGGAGTTTACCCTGTGGGTATTGTTTTAATCATCAGACTAATTCTCATTTAAAAGTGTGACATGGGTTCATTGTGACAATTTTACCTGGCAATTATGCATTTTTTGGATTCTTTTGGATATTTTCATAAGCGATATTCTGTGTATTAATTTGTTTCCATTTAGGGAGAAAAGCCCAATAATGTGTTTCCTCAGTATTTACTCTTTTACTGTAGTTATGATTGTTTTAAATATGGCAAGACAGATCAAAGGAATTATAAACTTCATTTGTGTTTTATTAAGAAAAGTAAAATATAAGAGAGGTAAATTTAATGGACTTAAAAATTCTTTCCAAAGGATGATGAGCCTTGAATATCTCAAATAAGAAGATGAAGTTAGAATTTATTGCTTTTTCTAGTAAGAGAGCTATGCTGGTGAGGCACAGTCTCTTCTGACAGAGCAGCTGCTGATCTTCCACAGGATTTGGGGAAGAGTGGCACTTAAGGACGGGCAGCCTTTCAGAGGAATACGGGGGTTGACATCATTTCTTGTAGCATGGTTAGTTGCGTGACACAGTGGTTGAGTGGTGGGCACTCCCAGACGTGTTTACTGGAATGAATTTTTGTCTGACTGTCTGCCTTTCAGAAGCAAGTGGCTGACATTGATTGGTGAATGAGGCCAATGGTCACTGATGGATTAACTAGATTTAAAACTACATGGGGGTGGCTACTTGTTACCATGGCTACTTGTTACCATGGTCATTTTCTAAGTGTGAGGACCAGACATTTTCTGTTGAAAAGTTGCTTTCTATCAACTATGTTCAAAATGAAAACTATTTGTTATTCCAGAATTGTAGACTTATTTTGCAATTTGAGTCAAGAACAATTGTTTAATAATTGCTCTCGGGAAGATATCTGCCCCCACCTCTTTTTTTTGCCTGCTTGGTCTTAACCAGAACAGTTATCTACATGATTCATTTTATAACTAATTGTTAGTTTTGTCTTTGTTTTTGATATTTTGGGGAGCTCATGCTCAACTCTTAACATAATCTCCTGTGGGAAATTTCAGTTTCTTTGTAAATTTATATAGGTATATGACAGTGATTTTCTTACACATGTGTTTATTTCACAAAAAAAGTAAGTACACTTTTCTGTTGGTAAATCCTACTATTTTACATTAGAATTAGCTAGGCTAAAAGTATACAAAAGTCAACAAATTATTTTATTTTCAAAAAAATTATAATTCATCACAATATTTCTACTTATAAATCATATAGAATGATATCTAGGTATTCTAAAAGTAAAGATTTCCCCCAAGATATTTCCTGATTTCTTATATTCTTGGTATATGTGCTTCATGCTATTTTATAACTTTTAAATGAAGCATTATCATATTTAAACAGAAAACCAAAAATATAGCCAAATCTAATTACTTCTCCCGCGCCTAAGAGTCATTGCTTGTAGGTAGTGAGCTCCAGGCTTTCAGTGTAGCATTCAAGGTTAGCATAGCATTCACCTCTCACTATTTACTTCCATGTATTTTACACTTTTCTTTTCAAGTTCACAAGAAACACCATGTGCCTCACCTTGGTGCTCACATTCTTTCTTTAAGTAGGTTGGCTTTCTCCTATTTTTTGCCTGGTGAGCTCCTTTTACATTTTGTCTGTTCCGTGAAGCCTTCCTTGGGCTCATGTAGAACTTTTCCAACAGGTCCACTCTTACATGTCACATTGTATCATAATTGCAGTTGACCTGTTTTTTAAA